TCTTCTTCTTCTTCTTCGACTCGCCCAAAGGCGGAAGGCAGTAAGGAGGGAGATCTCTGATATATATATATATATGGGGGGGGTTTTTTTTTTCTCTCTCTGTGTGTGTGTGCATATCACACTACCGTATTCACGGAGGGTGCTCTTATGGTATCTGTATTGCGGCCGGGCGGGGCGGGCAGTCTCTCAGCGCGTGCGCTTGATGTACCTAGGTACCGATAGGTAAGGTAAGGTAAGGTAAGGTAGGTACGGTAGGTACTTACTTGCTTACTTGCCTGCCTGCTCGTGACGCGCTACTTCTCAGAATCCATATATATGACTTTCCAGCACCCACCCACCTAGTCTAGAGTACTTACTTACTTACTTTCTTACTTACTTATTTACGTACTTATTTACTTACTTATTTACTTACTTATTTACTTACTTATTTACTTACTTATTTACTTACTTATTTACTTACTTATTTACTTACTTATTTACTTACTTATTTACTTACTTCCTTACTTACTTATTTACTTACCTATACCTATATACCACCTACGCATATCCCAGAAGGCAGGCGTACGGTAGTACCGTAGAACCATGCCAAGACCTCCTCCAGGCCTGGCAGGACCGTTGAGAGTTAGATAAAGAGCAAGCAACTCTTTTCATAGCGCGCATTGGAATTTATTACCTACTTCAAATCTATAAATCCTTTTCTTCTTTCCCTTTTCTTTTCCTTCTTTCCCCTCATTCATCCTCATCTTCATCTTCATCTTCATCTTCATCCCATTCTATCTATCTACCAACCAATCAACCAATCATCCAACCCAGCCCCGCCCCGCTCTTCCAGCCGCGACTACCCAGTACCGGTACCACTACCGGTACCTAGACCTACCGGTACCTAGTGCGTCCACAAGAAGGCCTTCAATCCGAATTTTCCCAACTGCGCACTCGCACGGGGGAGGAAAAAAGATAGTGGCGGCGCGACGGAAAGCGACGAAAAAAAAAAAAAAAAAAAAAAAAAACCCTTTTGGAACGCGGCTACCGACCGGTATCAGGAAATATGGAACCGACAGTACCGTAGTACCTAAGCTTTGGGGTGAGCAAGGTGGACGGTACCGGTAGCGGTAGCTGCGCGGGAAGGGAAGCTAAACAGAGCGGAGAAGGGAACGAGGTCACGTCAGCTTGCCATGGCAAGAAATACATACTACGTACCTGTACTACCGGTACCTACGCGTGCTTGCCCGCAAGGATTTTAATCTTAAAACGAGAGCTTGTAAAGCACCTACTGCAATTATAGGTAAAGACGCTCGCTCAACGCGCGAAAGCCATTTTGAATTGTTTTACTACGTACATGGTTTTATAGTTAAAAGCTAAACGAGAAAGAAAAGCGAATAGCCATATCAATTTTCTTAAGCTTAATCTTTAAATTAAGACTAATAACTCGCAAGTACTAGGTACTAAAATAGTTGAATCACAACGGATTCCGCGAATCGAGTCTAATTGGAAGTGATTTACAAAAAAGCTCGGATATAAAGTTAAATGCAAAGTCAATTGATTCTATTCGAAGGAAGGCCGACTTTGCTTACATATAATAGTTGTCAAAATACGTTGTGATGTGTTTTTTTTTCTTTTTCTTTTTTTTTTGTCGAATATAGAATGCTAGTATTTTCGGTGTTCTGACTATTTGAAATGGAGACTTGCTTGACCTGGGACAATTGCTTGTCCTGACTGTTACCGCAGGTAAAAGTCAGCGCACTGACTATTAGCCCATTCGCCAAACTCCAGGTCACATTATCACTCACCGGTTCTCACTTGTTCATCCCTCGTCTTATGCCAGCCTAGCATTATTCTTCGCCGCCGCCTCAGCCGTCAGCTTCAATCCCCTCGGGGCATCGTCCTTCGGAATATAAAGCTCCACGAATTGCAGCACATCGGCTGAATTGAATTTCTCGTCCGTGAACAAGGCCTCGACTTCGTCTTTGGTCTTGACCTGGTAGGTGCGGGCTTTGCCTTCGGGGGCACCGAAGACTTTCACGACATCTTTGTAGGACCAGGGCTGGATGTCGTTGTAATCGGCGTCCCAGCCGTGGATGAAGCGTTCGATTGTGTAGCCGTCATTACAGATTACAAAGCTGGGGAAGCACGTTCGTTAGTATGTGTTTCGACGAGGGGCGGGGGAAAGGACTGGATGAAGGGAGGGGGGGGGGGTCTTACATGATGGGCTTCAAGCCGAGACGGATCATGGTGCTGACTTCTTGAACAGTCAGTTGGAACGATCCGTCGCCTACGAAGAGAAGCGTTCTCCGGTCCTCGCCGGCATCCCGGGCAGCAAGCGCGCTTCCTTGGCATGCACCTACAGAGTAACCAATGCTGCCCCAGAGGACTTGACTGATGGCACTGACGCCCTGGGGGAACTTGGTCTCCCAGATCCCAAAGTTGGCGGTTCCAGTCTCCGTCACTACGATATCGTCTTCCTTTAGGAACTGACCGAGTCGTGGCCAGAACCATGCTTGGGTGATCGTGTCAGACTTATCCGTGTTCTCAGCGACCTTGTTGATCACGTTTGGCCCGGCGACAGCAGAGAGCTTGCCAACGTCGATTGTATTGATGATCTTGCGGAGAACGCCTCGCATATGCACCCCAGGGTATTGCGAATACCGCACCTGAATAAGATTGCTATGGAAGTCAATCGTGTTGAGTTGCGAGGTCTTGTATGTGAAGCCTGCGGTGTTGAAATCACTCTTGATGGCGCCAATTGTTAGAATCAGATCCGAGGCTTCGACCCGTTCTTGGACTGCAGGTTGACTTCCGTCACCAGCATAGACGCCACCGTAACTGGGATGAGTCTCGTTGACGGCTCCTTTACCCATTGGAGTAACGAAAACAGGAAGGCCCGTCTTCTCGACCAGATCGTGGACTTCCTCGAGGACTCTGTGGCGGACTGCGCAAGCGTCAACCAGGATGATTGGGTTTTTGGCCGTCAGGAGGTACTTCAGTACGACTTCGACAACGTAGTCTTCCATTGCTGTGTCGTTCGTGGGATAGTGGAGGTCAATTGGTGTCTTGAGTCGCTCTCCCTCGATCTTCTTTTGGACGATATCTGTGGGCAGCGTAATGTAAACTGGTCGACTTTGCAACCAGCATTGTTGGAGTGTGTGATCAATGAGAGTAGCGGCCTCCTGTGGGTCGTTGAGTTTGGCCATTGCACAAGAAATGTCCTTGTTCATGTCGAAGAAAACCTGCACGATAAGTCAACAATTCGCTAAGCCACATATGGGTTTGATAGCTGGGGGTCACGGGAGAACCTGGGCCAATCTTTCATGGGAACGCTTACATTGAAGTTTCCGTTGCCCAGCGTATGGTGTAGTAGCATCCCGTCCCGTTGAGAGAGGGTGGAAGGCAAACCAACGATATGAACGATCGGTACATGCTCCGAATAAGCTCCAGCAATAGCGTTTATTGCGGATAGTTCACCAACCCCGAAGGTGGTCACTATTGCTGAGATGCCCTTGATCTGTCCAACGAATTCAGTATCCACATCTCTCATTGGAAGGGATTGGCACTTACTCGAGCATATCCATCAGCAGCGTAGCCTGACGTGAAAGGTCAGCGGAGTAGGGTATCTCGATAGCAGGGCCAGGGTAGATTCTTAGGACGTACCAGCATTGAGTTCATTGCAATTGCCAACCCATTTCAAGCCCGTCTTGGGGAGGTAATCCAGAGCGACCAAGTTGTAGTCTCCGGGGAGTCCATGGACACTCCTCACGCCCATCTGGTGGAGTCTGATGAAGAGGTACTCAGCGACATCAATTGGACTTTGGAGAGACAAAGTTCTGATGTCGGGAGGGGACTTGGTGCCCAACGGGGTCGAAGTCATTTTGCGGGTGGATGAATTGGGGAGAGAGGGAGAGTTGGAGAGTTGGAGAGTAGGAGAGTAGGAGAGTAGGAGAGTAGGAGAGATGGAGAGATGGAGAAGATGGTGAAGTTGGAGAGTTGAAGAGTTTCCAGCGAGCGAGAGAGTCTGAAGCAGAGAAAGGTGATTTTAAATGAGAAACTGAGAAGGAAAGAAACGGGGAGAAGGAAGAAGGAGAAGGAACGAAACGGAGAGAAGGAAGAAGGCGAAGGAAAGAAACGGATTTCTTGAGATCAATGTAGTAGGTAGTAAGTACCTGAGTACCGTATCTACCCGAGTACCTACTACGTCGCAGGCGTAAGTATTAGCCCTCGAGGGTAGGGAAAACAGGGGGTTTAAAGTGGAAACTAAACTTTGAAGGCACCCTCGAGGGGTAATACTTAGGCCTGTTACCGTGGTACTTGGGTCACGCCACTTTTCTGGACTCCAGGCGTGAGAGTCACGTGGTGGTTTGCATGATGCTCCATCGGGTCGCCGTGAGTTACGGTAATATAAAGGTAGATGTAGATATATGTGAGTGTATATGTATATACAGATATATGGATATGGATATATATATATATATATATATATACCTTATATATATATACATCCAGAGGACAATATACGTAGTATATCCAGGGCGACGACAACAGCAACATTGATCTAGGCGAAACTCGGTCAGTGGCCGCATATCGTACTCATTTGCCTGACTAAGCAGATTAACGCATTATTATTAATCAGACCTGATGACCGGGAAGTCAGTGCGTCCGCTGCCTGTTAAGTACCGGTATTAAGCTGCGGGCTCGACGGGAATACGGGGAGTTGTGGATTACGGAGTGGGGGAGCTGTGGATTACGGAGTGGAGAGTTGTGGACTACGGAGTACGGAGTAGATACAAAACAAAAGCGCAGCGACATGACACGGTCCGTTCTCTGGTCGCTCGCTGGTCGATCCCTGTAACGGTAGTTGGACGTCTTGGCCGACGGATCCCGGTGCAGGCCAGTGCAGGTCAGTACAGGCCAGCCCAGCCTAGTCCAGGCCAATGCAGGCCAGTACAGGCCAGCCCAACCCAGTCCAGGCCAGGCCAGCCCAGTCCAGGCCAGCCCAGCCCAGTCCAGCCCAGTGCAATCCAGTCCCGTCCAGCCCAGTCCACTCTAGGTAGCCCTCCCCTCCCCACCCCGTCCCGCCAGCCCCAATCCAGTCAGCCTCCAACCCCCAACCCCCAAACCCCCAAACCCCCCAACCCCCCAGTCCCGCCAGCAACGGGAACTCGGTCGCACTTCACCAAACTCCTTTAATCAACAACAACCGCCCCAAACTCCATATTGCCACTGCGAATTGTTGCTTGACCCGACCCACCGACCCACCGACCGACCGACCGACCGACCGACTGACCGACCAACCAACCGACCCGACCCACCGACCCGCACCCCGTCTGCCCTGCCAAACCCCCCGACCCAAACTCGCGACGCCTAGCGACATCCAGTCGAAGAAGGACAAGAAGGTCAAGAACAAAAAATAGAATCGGAAAAAAAACAACAAAAAACCTAAAAACCCCAAAATACCCAAAAACAAAACAAAAACAAAAACAAAACCAAAACCAAAACCAAACAGAAAAACATAAAAAAAACATAAAAAAGCACGAACCCTCTTCGACTCGCCGCCGCCTCCCACCCACAACCCAGCTCCACGAACACGCAAGGGCCAAGCCATTCGCATCAGAAAGTATCAATCAGATTATCCCCCATCTCGCTTTGATAGGGCGGGCCCACCACTACTCGAAGATGCGCGGGTACTGGCCACGATGACCAGATCAGACCGATCCAATTCAGAAGCCTACCAACCCTCTCCACGACTGACTTCGGTATTATCTGACGATATCTTGCTCAACGACATCCCCCAGCTGAGCAGCTCCTCCGGTCTCCTTGCGCCTCTCTACGGCGGCTCGAGAGGCTCTCCATATCCAACCCTCGATTCGACGAGACCGAGAGCCCGGTCCGCTGCTGGGGATCCGGTGAACTCGCCGTCGGGCGCATCCTTCTCTTCCGCGAAGTCATACCGACCGTCGCCGCGGTCGGGACCGGGTGTCCAGATGTACAATCCAGCGCAAAGACAGGATGTCTCGAGACAATATGTTCCTCCGCCGCCGCCTCTGATGTCTCCTCCGGCCCAACAGCATATGATGTCGATTCCTCCACCTCCACCTCCTCTGCGCAGTGTCCCGTCCCAGAACCACCACCCGGGCGTCGTCATCCCTCCGCCACCGGGACCGCCCCCGGTGTCGAGTTGGCAGGGAGGCTGGAATCGTTCCTACGATGCGAGAGGCTTTCCCCTCCCTCCCCCCAATCCTCCTGCGAACAGTCAAAGTCAACATCAAGCGTATAATTCGGGTCAGAACTATGTCTCCCATCAGCCTCCGCCTTTATCCATACCTCCTCCCCCGAGTAACGAGCCTCAGATGTCAGCAACCTATATACCCCACGGGGATTCCTTTGGACCTGGGGTGGGAATACCTGGCTTTGGGAGAACACAAGAATCGAGCTTCAACAGGGGCGATAGTCCTGATTTCTCTGCCGTCTCAGATGCTAGCTATAGGTCCAGCTCGAGAAATACCGCCGAGACGGGTCTATCTACACCCATGGATGATGGCGGAAGTTTTTACCAAGATCGAGATCGCACGTACCCGTCCCAGACACAGATGAACCGTTTTAACAATATCCACATGCCGGAATATAACCCCTCCGGAACCATCCCACTTCTCAATGCACGGCAGACCAGCAGAGGCCCTCACCAACAAGCAGGTTCTAGCAACGCGAACACCCCTATATCTCCTGTAGACGCTGGTTCGCAATGGCCTCTCGATCGAGTTCTCCTTTGGTTAGTACAGAACTCATTTTCAAGTGACTGGCAACAAACTTTCGCCGCCCTGAACATTTCTGGTTCTGTCTTTCTGGAATTGGGCAGTGGCCACGGCGGGAGAGGGAATTTTGGTATGATGCATCAGCAAGTCTACCCTCGCCTTGCAAAGGAGTGTTCCAACAGCGGCACTGGCTGGGATCAGGCGCGGGAGCGTGAAGAAGGCAAGAGGATGCGTCACCTGATCAAGCGCATTGTCACTGGGAGATCACTGGATTCGAAGTCATCTCATGTTCGGCGAGAGTCTTCAAATGGCACCACTCCAAGTGCCGGCACGGAGGGCACGTTAGAAGGCTCTCCCAACCTCAGCCGTGAGGCCCACATTTCGACCCCGAGCACAGCGAATGGGGACGACAGCCCCAGAAAGTCTCTGTTCAAGTCACCAGGGCCAGGTTTTTCCAACAGGCGATTCTCCACCCGGGGGATAACGATGCCAGTCATCAACACACAAGACCCGGATATATACAATGCCCTAAACCGGACAAGTCATAGGAACGCTTTCCGCCACATCGACGGTGACGGTAGCCGGCGTCACAGTCCCAGTGCGAGCAGCGAGACAGGCGAGGGCCCCCTTAGAGGCGCGGCCCTTCGTCTGGAAGGTAGCCCGCAAAGCATCAGTCCTGGTGGAGCTTTCACGAACATGCAAATGACCGGCGTGGGAGGCCTCTTGGTGTCGCCCGATACCAGGAACTTTGGGCATCGTGCCAGTAACAGCACCGACTCGATTTCTTCCAATGCAGCGATATATGGCTCTGGAGTTCCTCCGGGCGCCAGCCAAATACTCCGTGGGGGGATGGGAGGGGTTGTAGGGGAGTCAAATCTGGTTCGCAATCAAGACGGTCGTCGCCACGGTGTTGATGGTCCGCGACCACCGCCCTCTGATGCTGGAGACAGATCCGGCACCTCCGAGCCCCCAACGTCCGCAAAAGAACCAAAGGGATTCCTCAAACATTTCCGAAAGAAGAGAAAAGAGGATGGAGCTGGCCCGTCTCCCGAAGAACAATATCTTGAGTCTCCAACTAGTCCCTGTCTAAATTTCCGGCCCGGTCCTTTCATAGGAAATGGAAAAAACTCTAGCGAGACCTCGCTCGACCGGCCGTCTTCAACATTCTCGGCCTCTGAATATGACAAATTTGCACACACTACTCGGCATCGTGGCGCCCGGAATGTGCCAGGGAGGAATTTTGTTTTGGCGACTTTGAATGGAACAGACTACCGGCTCTGTGATGTCACAGATGTAGATTCTGCTGGCGAACTTCGTAGCGTGCTTTGTTCGACGATGGGTATAGCAGATATGGACCTGGTGCAGGTTTTCCTGACGGAGCTTGGCAGAGTCGAACATGATGACGCGCTGGACGACCATAAGCTCCTATTGCATAGAAGAACCAAGGCTGATCAGACGGGGAGTTTGAAATTATACATTCGAGCACCAGCCAACTCGACGACGGCCCTTCCTGCGGCGCAGCCATCGAGCTTCAGAGCCAGCTTTGGCAGCAGACTTGGCTTTTCGCCTGGATTGCTGCCTTCGGCTTCTTTGGATGAAGAAGCCTATGCAACGCTCACTGGGAGAAGGCGGTCATGCTCTTCTCCTCCAAGCTCTCGACAAAACACCGTCAAAGAAACAACCACCCAAGCCCAATCTGATCCTCTCCGCGATCGTCTGCTGAAATTCCGTAATTCTCAAGCTGAAGGTGGCGAAAGTCAGCTATCTGAAGCCGATAGAGCAGCTTTCATGGAAATGGCTATGAAAGAATACAAGGCCGTGATGGAACGAAGACAAAATGAGTACACAGCTAGAAAGAAGGCAAGCAGGGAAACCCCCCCTGCTGACAATTCGGTCGGAATCGTGGGTCGCAATGTTGATTTTGATCAGCCTCGACACTCCCCTTTCGAAGATAAGAAGCTGGACAGCCTCCTGCCTCAAAGGAAGCCTCCCCCTCCACCTGCCGAGTCAGCAACCTTGATCAAAGCGAATTCGCTCAGCAAGAGGTCGGGGCAGCAAGCACGTTTGTCGGTCACGAGCATCGACAGCGAGGGCAGACGTATGTCGTGTGCTGATCAGCAATTTCTTCCTCAGCTTGAAGAGATGTCGGAATACGACAAACGAACACACGTACCTGCACCAACCCAAGTTAGCAGCGGCATAGCATCTGCGCTCGTCGGCATGGGAAGCCGGCTTGGAGGAGTCGGTCACCCTAGTCCCAATATCGCTCACTCCCTAATGGGGGGCAAGAGAACACCGCCGAGAGGGAATGATCAAACTGAGCGGGGCCGAAGTGCCATGTCTTCAGTCGATTTCAACTCCCGTAACAGCAGCCCCCGATCTCTGAGTGGGACGCCCGGCAGTACAACTTGGGGAAGAGGCGATACATCTTTCACGGTCCCGGACTATGGTCAAGAGGGTGGCGTCCGTGCTACGCGCGACCGGTCTCTATCCGTCAAGATACCCGATAACACTGATGACAACAAACTTCGGGTGGAGGATACGAAGCGACTCCCATCTCCTAACCTGAGTCCAAGTAGTGCTCATGGAATGCCCGGAATGGGAACGCCAGGAACTAGAAGGTCGTATGGGCCGAATCTGGACTTCACAGAGTCTAGCGTTGATTTCAAGGATTTGCCTCAGCAGAACCCCCAGACCGACTCCGATGATGATTCCGATGATGGCCTGTTCGCAGTGCCGCTTGCAAATCGAAAGCCAGCGAAGAAGTCAAGCATGCGAAGGCCTGCAGCAGGGGGAGACAAGGACAGCGAAACGGATGGTATTGCGAAGAGACCTAACTTGAGAGTCAGGACCTCGAGGTCAAAGAAAGGTCTATCGGTCACCTTTACATCGCCTCAGGATGGCAACAGCGCTGCAAGCAACTCTAGAACGTCCGACTTTGAGGATGAGACGCCGCGAAGTTCAGGGAAGCGACCTCAGCGACGCAATCCCGGCTCTGCGAACTCCGAGGGTGGCTGGTCCGCCGAATCTTCAGACTACATGAGTGCACAATTAATCCGGCGTGACTCGTTTGCACGAGAAGACGTTTGGGCCAGTAGACCTCCCGCAGAAGCACTTATCGACCATCTCGATGCCTTCTTTCCCAACCTCGATCTGGACCAACCTGTGTTAGAGGAGACTGCTGGTCCCTCGCCACCGGTCTCACCAGTGGCCGAGCAAGAGAATACGACACAACTTGCGGCCTCACAGGCTGGCATGAATGTGACCGAAAGCCCGTCACCGAACACTGTTCGCTCAAGTCTTTACAGCGATGGCGATACTCTCGGCTCTGATGAATCTACTCTGAAGGCATTAGAACGAGAGAGACCAGGCTCCATGCCAAGCATCGCTCAGCGAAATATCCGTCTCTCCGGTGGTCTGGGCCGCATGAAGTCAATCCGTGAAGTTGCCCGGGGAGCACATGAAGCAAACAAGCGCTTCACAGCACCAATAGCTCAAGGCGGCTCATCTAGCACAATCCTTCGGCGGAAGAGTACCAAAATGTTTGGCGCCAACATTGTCCAGATCAAACCGAAGCGCGGGAGTATGCTTCTACCTCGGATTCCTCAAGACACAATACCAAAACGACAAGCGACCTTCAGATGGTTCAAGGGTCAGCTGATTGGAAAAGGTACATATGGTCGCGTCTATTTGGGAATGAACGCCACGACTGGAGAGTTCCTCGCTGTCAAACAAGTCGAAGTTAGCGCAGCAGCTGCCGGGAAAGCGGGAAACGACAAGGAAAAAATAAGAGAAATGGTCGCCGCTCTTGACCAGGAGATTGACACAATGCAGCATCTCGACCACGTCAACATCGTCCAATACCTTGGCTGTGAGCGGAAGGAAATGTCGATCAGCATTTTCTTGGAATACATCTCCGGTGGTAGTGTTGGAAGCTGCCTACGCAAGCATGGCAAGTTTGAGGAGACCGTGGTCAGCTCCCTCACCCGGCAGACCCTCTCTGGTCTTGCATATCTTCATCGAGAAGGTATCCTACATCGAGATTTGAAGGCCGACAACATCTTGCTCGATCTCGATGGGACTTGTAAGATTTCCGACTTTGGCATCTCGAAGAAAACCGATAACATCTATGGTAATGACGCATCGAACAATATGCAAGGATCTGTTTTCTGGATGGCCCCCGAAGTTGTCCGCTCCCAGGGCCAAGGATACTCGGCCAAGGTTGATATTTGGTCGCTTGGGTGCGTTGTTCTCGAAATGTTCGCAGGACGAAGACCTTGGAGCAAAGAGGAAACCGTGGGGGCTATCTACAAGCTTGGTAGCTTGAACGAGGCACCGCCTGTTCCTGACGACGTGTCGATGAACATCAGTCCCGTCGCCATAGCCTTTATGGCCGACTGCTTTACTATGTGAGTAATCCTGATATCTTGCCATACCTTTCTGCAATTTGTCCTGACTGATAAAATAGCGATCCTTCTGAGCGTCCAACTGCCGATACCCTGCTTTCTGGACACCCCTTCTGTGAGCTGGACTTGAACTATAATTTTCTCGATACCGACTTGTATGCCAAGATTCGCTGTGCATTTTAAGACTAGGTGTTACTTGCGGGCGATGAGCGATGGGCCATCTACAAGGCGCCGAGCTGATTTTATGATATCACGAAACTGGGCTGCAACTACATTGATAGTGCAGATTTTCCTTCGTACCTCTCTGTCTCCTTCGGAAAATAGCGCAGGCGTGTCTTGGAGCAGGACTTGATGGTCTATGTATGGTCTGTATGTGTATATATATATATATATGTGTGTGTGTGTGTGTATGTCAATAATGATTCCCGGAATTTCCCTTTGCCTCTTCTCACTTAGATGTTAGACTGATTTGTGGAATGGTGATGAAAGGCAATTGACGGGTAGATTGTTGTGATTTAATTGGCTAGCCAAAATCCTCTCCCAGCCTTGGTCGCGAAAAAAAAAAAAAAAATAGCTCGACCGACAAGCTACAACTACCTAACTACCTCCTCCTGCTTACCCGAAGATCAAGACTCTATCCACGTTATTAGACAACGACACCGCTGCTCTGCTCTGCTCGACTCACACGCAAATATGGCACCCTATGACAGCGATTCCTCTGGGGGCGAGGATAATTCTGATTACACCGAGACGAACGTGCTGCTTGGCTACGCCTCGAAAGAAGCCTCGGACGATACGATCAGTTACCTTGGAGGAAGACCAGTATGTTCGCATCCGAACCATAATATGTCGCATTCCCTCTTACAACCTCTCCCTCTCCCATCACTAGATTGAAGCGAGGAGTTGAGTTCGAGCGCTATCACTGTCACTGTCACTGTTACTGATTCTAACAAAGTCCTGGCTCGACCCCGCGACCCCGCCTTCAGCAACGCTCGCGAAGTGCAAAGTCTGCAACGACCTCATGGTTCTTCTGCTACAACTAAATGGTGATCTCCCCGAACACTTCCCGGGCCACGAGAGACGACTATATGTGTTGACGTGTCGGAGGAAGACGTGCCGGCGCCAGGAGGGCAGCGTCAGGGCATTGAGGGGTGTTAGGATCGCCGAGGTCAAGAAGGAGACGAAGCCTGCCCCGGAGGCAGAAGCGCCAGCGAAACCTGCGATTGACCTGGGACAGACCTTATTTGGTGCCAATCCATTCTCGAGTACGGGATCGGGCTCGGCGAATCCATTTTCGACTGCTGGCTCTGCACATGCGGGCAATCCTTTCTCTACATCCTCTTCGATGAGCAGTACTGCGAACCCGTTTACAGCAGTCGGAGCACCAACATCCGAACTCGCCGCCAAACCCCCTCAAGCACCCTCGTCACCAGCGACCGACCTCCCCAAGACCTTCGCTTCCGCACTCAAACTCAATAACGATACACCTCAGTACGGACCCCCTTCGCCACCCGAACCATGGCCTCCGGAATCCGAGCTCCCAGCCGCATACCCGCTCTACTACCTCGCAGACGCTGATTACGAGACCCTAGATAAACCAGAGGACTTACCGATCCCTACGCAGACGATGGAGATTGACGATGGCGGAGGATCTGGCAACCAGAAGGAAGATAAGGATGTCTACGAAAGCACGATCGATAAGACCTTCCAAACATTTGCGGATAGACTCGCGCAGAACCCCGAGCAAGTCATTCGTTACGAATTCAAGGGTCAGCCATTGCTGTACTCGAAACAAGATGCTGTTGGGAAGCTACTCAGTGGCGGCAAGGAGAACGGGAAAGTGACGACGGCGTCGAGTAATGGCAATCGCATGCCGAGATGTGGCAACTGTAGCGCGGGGAGGGTGTTCGAGGTGCAGCTTACGCCGCATGCCATCATGGAACTTGAGAGCGAGGAGATGAGTATTGACGGAATGGAGTGGGGGACGATTATTGTTGGGGTTTGCGAGAGGGATTGTCAGCAGAAGCTGGTGAGCACCGGGGTTGGATATGTGGAGGAGTGGGTGGGGGTGCAGTGGGAGGAGCTTAGATGAGAGAAGATAGAAAGAAAGCTACACTGTGCAATGTCAATAATGAAGTAAGTGTCTTGATATGCGTATCTTACGCGAAATTTGAGCCTGGCGTGGCCAGAAACGATCCCAAGCCAAAGAGCAACCCATGGAAGGTGTCGAGCAATTGTATCTTCCAACATGCAGGAGTGACAACTGGCTTTGCTTGAGCTTTCTGAATGCTTCAAATATATCGTTAAAAGCAAGAGGGTGGTGGGGGGGGGGGGGGGATCTCTGCAAGCTCAAAAGCCCATGCCGAAAACCACACAGCCTCGCCAAAGCCTCGCCAAAGCCTCGCCAAAGCCTCGCCTCGGCATAAAATCACCACCTCGTCCAGCACCTACTCGTTCTCCCCCCTTCACAAACATACCTCCACGGTCCGAACAAAAACCAGAACTACCCCCCCCCCAAAAAAAACCGAAAAAAAAAATAGAAAAGAAAAAAGGAGAGGAATGGCAACCAAAACCCTACTCCCACGCCTACGGCCTCTCACCCGCCTCCCCCCCAAACCCAAACCCAGCCCTCGACCCTCCTCCCCCTACCACTCCTACGACCACCCCCCCCCACCCGGCCCCTTCGCGGACGCCGAGAGCGCCATCCTCGCCGCCGCCCTCCCACACGTCCCCTCCTCGGGCTTCACGCTCACGACGCTCGCCCGCGGCGCCACGGACGCCGGCTACATCGAGGCCTCGACGAACCTGTTTCCCCACGGCGCCTTCAGCCTCGTGCATTACTACCTGTTTTGTCAGAGGGTAGGGCTCAAGGAGAGGGCGGGCGCGAAGGCCGTTCTAGCACGAGGCGAGGGCGAGGGCGAGGGCGGCGCGGGTGCGGGTGCGGGTGTGGGTGCGGGTGCGGGTGTGGGCAGGAAAGTCAAGGAGTTGACGTGGGAGCGCTTGATGGCGAACCGGGAGGTGGTGCATCGCTGGCAGGAGGTAACGTTTTTCTTCCTTCTTCTTCCCCTTCTTCTTCTACTCCTCCTACCCATCCTACCCATTCTACTCCCCCTACGTGCCGCCATTCTCGCGGCCCTGTCTGATTTGACTCCTGCTTCTTTCTTCACACGTGGGATTGCGTTCAAGCCCCGGGGGAGGGGGAAAAGGAAATCTCTCATTTACTCATTTATTGACGTGCGGAGTGAGTACCACGCAGGCCCTGGCTCTGATGGCCCAGCCCTCCAACCTGCCGACTGCCCTCCACGAGCTCTCGTCCCTCTCTGACGAGATCTGGTTCCTGGCCGGCGACCCATCCGTCGATTCGAGCTGGTACACCAAGCGGGCCTCCCTGTCAACGATATACGCCGCGACGGAATTGTTCATGACGAGGGACAAGTCGGCGGAGTATGCTGAGACGAGAGAGTTTCTGGAGAGGAGGTTCAAAGACTCACAGGCATTAGGGGGTGCGCTGGGCAGTGTAGGGCAGTGGGTGGGATTCACGGCCCGCGCAGGCTTGAACGTGTTGAGAAGTAAGGGTGTCAGGGTATAAGGCGAGACGGAGATGTTGCCTTACAAGTTAGGCTTCATGACTGTAGTATTACATCTTGAAGAGTGTACAGAGGATGTTCGTAAGAAGTGACTCTACCGAGAGCATCCCACCGTTCCCAGAGCGCGTAAGCCAAAATCAGAACGCCTCCAGACGCCCACTACTGTCTACATCATTCACACACGGACCTCAATCCCCAGCTTCTCCATCGCGCTGACGCTGAATCATCTCATCAATCTGCTTTTGGTTGAGTCGAGGATCCAATAACTTGGTAATTCGCACGTCGTCAGCCTTCCCGATACCAGCACCCAATGCCTTGGGGGTAATCAGGATGAATTGTCGTCCAACTGCTTTGCGAGCAGCGCTGATCTGATTGAAGTTAGTACCTCTTGTGGGTCAAGAGGGCAGTGTACATACGATCATCTTGGTGCTAACATCTCGGTTAACATCATCCATGAAAACATCGAATTCGTCCAGGCATCGTAGCGGAGCACCCATTGCCTCCCAAAGAGAGAGAAGCAGACAAATGGACGAGAAGGATTTTTCGCCGCCAGAAAGGGTCTTGGTCTGACGACCTTTGCCACTTCTCGATGTCTCGTCCGGCTCTACGTGGACGTCGAGGAGTTTGGCCTTGTGGTCAATAGTAAGTTTTCCACGGAAAGCTCGCTCGCTGAGGAGATAGCTGAAGCTGATTCGGGATCTGGCGGAGATATGTCTCTGAAATTTCCTGAACTGTTCCATTCTGTCAACGAACGACTGCTTGAGGAGTGACAAGAGCTCTTCAAGGCCCTTTCTCTGTCTTTTTGCATTGCGGAAGATGTTCAATGCTTCAATGGCTGCTTCGTGGATCTCCTGATCAGTACCGCCTTGCGCTCTCTCGTAAGCCGACAACTGTGAATGGAGGCTCTCGCAACGTTTCTCGAGAGCCTTCGTAGTGTCGCCTGGACCGAGTTGCACCCGCGGGCCATATTTCTCGGCTTGCACCACGAAGTCTTCGGCAATAGACTTGGCCTGCGCGGTACGCTCATCTTCAATCTGTATCTTTTTGTATTCTAGATCTTCAAGGCTCTCCACCGCGAGGTTCTTTGCAGAGAGACAATGGTTTCGAACCTTTTCGGTCCTGTTCACTTTGTCCCGGGCTTTTAATATCTGCGCTTCCAATTCCACCACTCGGGCCCTGGAAGCATCTAAGGCTCGTTTTTTTTCAGTCGAGAGACTATTCTGATGCTGCTTTTCGAGACTTGCGCCACCGTAAGCATCCTCACAAATTGCCTTTTGTTTCTCCGCGCTCTCCAATTCTTGCTTGAGGGAATCGAGTTGTCCATCATCCCCGCCCAGGTTCTGAAGGTCGCCCTCGATGTCCTCAACCTTTGCTTCTGCCTTTTGACAGGCGATCTTAAGCGTCTTATTTTCTTTTATGTGTTGCTGAATTGCGGCCTTGCATCGGCCAGCCTCTTGTCTGGCTCTTTCGTATTCATCAGCGAGTGTTTTCTTCTGACGCTCGAGGTGGTCCACGATCTCCCTCTGGTTGTTTATCTGGCTTGCACGATCGGTTCTCATTTTCGGCCGACCCTTTGGAGGGTGGATTGGGGCAAGCTCTCTTGAATTCCGTGGACCAAATGAGAGCTGATGACCGAAACCACGTTTACTATCATGCATGGCAAAGCACTGCCTCACGTTTCTCGGTCTTGGGCCATCATACATGACGCTTATGGCTTGAGACCGACTTTCAATCAATATGGTCTGTTCGATCGCATATCCGATGATCAGTTGCCGCTTGACAAGCTCGTTGTCAATACTCATTACCCGGTAGATCGTATCATACTAGAATTTTGAAAATGTTAATAACAACACACAAAGGGTGCCGGTTCTAATAACCGGCGATGTCTTGATCAGGAGGAATTATGGGACATGAGGCAGCGTACCTGGGGATCTGGCTCATTGCCTGAGAGGTCTAGAGGAGGGCCATTCACTATTGATACTGGGCACCATCCCATCTTGTTCTTCCTCTGTGAGGAATAGGTTAGTGATCATTTGGCACCAAGGAACCTACTGCGTGGGGCTAATTCACTTACAAGTATGTCTGACAATCTCAACTGATCAGGCTTACTTGTCACGACGAACCCGGATAAAGCAGCGCCCATTTTTGATTCTATGGCATTGGACCATTTAGGCTGCAAAAGTTTGATGTGCAGTCCCACAGGACCTACGGGCTTCTCTCGGAACCCGCGATCATTTTGGATGATCTGCAACACTCCGGCCATGGCTCTTTCGAAGCCTGCCAGCTGATCCCCTTGGTTCGAATCCAAATGGGTTAACTTGGTTTTTGCATTATTGAACTCCTCGGTCCTCTGTTGCAAAGGAGTTTCCAGATTCCTGGCTGTGGCACTTGCACTGCGTAAGTTTTCCTCCAATTGCGGGCGCGCTTCTTCGCTCCGGAGAAATTCTGCTTTGGCATTTTCGAGAGTCTCCTTGGCTTCGGCAAGATCTTGAACCTTCTGAGCGTGTACACCACCATTAGCATCTTCCAAACGCTTCTCTTCCGCCTTGATCGCATCCTGGACAGCTTTGACGCTTTTAAGTGCCGACTTCAAATCGTCGCTGATAATCTTGTGCTGAGTGTGAATCGCAGCTACATCCTTCGTCGCCGTTTCATGGACACTTCGGGCCTTCTCCTCCTCCTCCTTCAGGGCAGGTAGTTCGTCTTGCAATTGTGTACAAGCGTCTTTATGACGGGTCAAAAGATCTTCTGCCTTTTGGAAGTTCTCGTCCTTCTCAGTTACCCTAGCCTCGGCGTCATTGATTTGTTGTTGATGGTCTGCAAGTTTCTGGTCGATTTCAGCAAGTTTGACTTCCTGATCACGTACTTGTGACCACGCATGTTTTCCCCCAAGTCGTCTCAGCTCCGATTTCATTTCATTACGCTCATTGACGGCCTTGTGCTTAGCCTGCGCATCGTCTAACTTCTTCTTGAGGAGCTTGATGTCGTCTATCGAATCCTGAAGTCTTGTATCAATTTGCTCACAAGTGTCCAGTACAATCTTATAGTCATTATTCAAGGCCTCGAGTTGCACACCTTCAACAAAAAACTTGTACTTCTGAGCTGGTGTCGAAGCGGTGATGAAGGACTTGGCAGCGTCTTGTGTCAGAACATTCATTGGATTGTCTACCTGTAGCTGGTAGTACTCGACGAGATCATCAACGTCGCCCTTCTTGGAGGATATGATTCGCCCTGCATGATTCTTGAGCTTGAACCCACTGCTCCCAGTCTTTGAAAAATGGCGCTCGATGATGATTGATTTTCCGTAGATATCTGGCTGGTAGGCGTCATTGCCTTCATTCTTCAGTCTGATTTCTAATTTGGCGGATTCCGTGCCCTCTTTGATGAGGCTCTTGAGGCTGGCACCACGATTTGTGGCAGCTGCTTTACCGCCTAAACAGAGTGTGATGGCAGTAAGGACGGCGCTTTTCCCACTACCGTTCATACCAACAACAAAATTAATGAGTGGTCCCAACTTGCAGTTCAGTCTCGTGTGACACATAAAATTGTAGCAGGTGATCTCTTCAATGATAGCGTTTTCGCTGGCCCGGTTCTCGCCCACCCGTCGATTTTTTGCCAAGATCCTCTTCTCTGCAATCGCATCGTCCAGGTCGGGGTTTGCAAGATGTCTCCAGTCTGCGTCGCGTATAGACTCGTATTGTGTAGTTGGTGGCGCCTCTTGTCCATTGTCCTCGATGGCATCGGGAAGTTCCTCGTCCGACTCGCTCTCTGAAGATGGCGAAGCACTTTGCTGTCGGGACTCCGATGCACTGTGGGCAGATGATAGCCGCGCTCTCTTGTTTAGCTGAAATGGATCAGTAAGGATGAACAGACAGTCAGTGAATGCCTATTGCGAACACTTACACTGCCGGTTCGTAATGCGGAACTGGCGCTTTCCACTGTGGTTGCCTCCTCGTCTTCATCGTATCTGACGCGCTTCTGAGGTGCCATATTGGCGTTCGGTGTCGAGGATGTCCGTAGCAATAAGAAGATGTTGTCGTTGCCTCGCAAGGACTCTCTATTCGTGAAGGTACAGTCAGGTAGCGGCGACCAACGCGACTGACCGCGCTAAATTTAAGCTTTTGACGCGAAACCCACCACCTTGACTTTCTGCAAAGAAGAGACGGAATAATGGCACGTATCTTCGCCTCATCAAAACAAATATGCTCCAACGAAAAGAAACGTACGTCAACTCTCGTTGGACTTTCGTTTTGCCCTTATACCCAAACAATTCCCCAGATCAAACACTATTGTAGTTCGGACTTGGCTCTTATTGCAGCCCATTCCCTGGATTCATCTCAGGCCACAATTGCAATGTCCCATCAGGCATACCATATGCTCCCCTTTTTTTCCTATTTCCCTCTGCTTTCATATGTTCAAGTCCATTGCATTTCAAGTTCGGATCGGCCCTTTTCCGCTACCCTGCGCCATGTCTCATTACGCTGTACAATGCATACAATTCCTCCCAGGCTCATCGATACCTTCACGAGCAGCCGGTAGCCATCTCGGCCGCCTTCAGAGCAACTGCAAACCTCGACTTCAGATCCTCCGCATCCTCCAGACCGACACTGAGACGGATCAAATCAGCTGGAACGCCAAATTGTGCAGCCCAGTCGAGCTCCAGGTAATGCGCCAGAATAACATAAGGCGATGTCAGTGTAAAGTTCGTTCCCAGACTTGGACCTTTCGCTGTTTCTATCCGGTCGTAAAACGCTATTGCCTGCTCCGTCGTTTTGAAGGTGAAAGAGAGAAGACCTCCATAACCGCCATTCGGTGTACGACACGCATCGTAGAATGGCCGCGAACGGTTGTATTTCGGGTAGTACAGATTCTGGATTAATGGGTGTGCTCGCAGGATCTCGCAAATCAGCCCGGCATTTTCGTTGATCCTCTCGATTCTTGAAACAAAGTGGCGGCTGTTCCGCTCCATGAAGATTAGATCTTCTGCCCAGCAGTTGTCCTCGTACTCAGCTTCTATAGCTTCCTTCATTGCCTGGTAGTACCGACTGCCGGGATTGAGGATCAAGCTGCCTCCCATAACATTGCACTCTCCAGAGAATATCTTGGTCAGACTGCTAACCACTACATCGGCATATGGGAGAACATGGACGTTGATGAAGTTGCCAATCGTCTCATCGACAATGACAGCAAAATCGTATACGTCTGCTAGCTTCCGTATCCGCTGAAGGTCAGGACACTTCAGCATGGGATTCCCTGGAAACTCGCAAAACAGTGCGAGGTACCTCTCTCCTGAGTTTAATCGAGATTCTAGGTCGTCCAGATCTTCCGGCTCTCCATTTCCGTAGAAGATGCAGCCGGGGCCAAATTTCTGCAAGATCTTTAGCGTGTCAACATAAGGGAAGCCATATGAGATGCTCTTCATGGGACCCCTCGCCTGCATCAACATTCGATGTGAGGAGAATATAGAATTCATTCCAGTAGGGTAGAGGTAAACGTCACTCTCCGAAAGACTGGCCACTCCACGTGTACTTGAACCAGTATCGAGAGCCGGCACTGTGGCCAAGTCTATCTCCCCCATCAGTGAGCCCGCAATACGGCGTCGGATTGCTGACTTGGCATTTTCCACGAACGAGACATCGAGATTGCGTCCAAAACGCTCCTCTAGGAATTGTGAACTCTCCCGGCTTTCGGCGGAACCGATTGCTCCATTGGATCCGGGAGCCGCACTTCCATTCTGGTATGCTTTGGGTGGCGTCTTGTCTATGGAACCTTTCTGGTATCTTCTCGGACCCTTCACGAAACCATTGGCAATTGGTTGAAGAGCTGTTTGTTCGACCAATATCCCTTCTTGGTAGAGGCCATGGCAGAACTCGGCACGTCTACTCGAGACTCCTTCACCTGAATGCTGCCAGTATTGCTTGGCTAAAGAAAACAAATCTTTGGGGAAGATGACAGCAGATATGGATGGGGAAAGTTTCTTCAAGATCTCAGAATTCGTTCGACTCAAGTCCAGAACCAAATCAACCAAATGGATCTGGTCTGCAGTAATTGCTGGATCTCGCGAGTGCATAAAGGCTACGCATCTTTGTGCAGTTCTTGTGGACGGGAACAACATTGCCTGCTGATCAGGCCTGCCATTTTGCTTGACAATGTCTTCAGCGAACGCAACAATGAGTTTGTGGACGAAAAAACTTGATCACGGGGGCAAGTCAGTGTGGCGAATTCAGATTTTAGGGGTGTTCAAGTCATACCGTGGGTAACCAGTTATCATTCTATTCAGAACTCTCTCCTTTCCTTGCTCATATTCAACGTTGTCCGCCCATTTTGGAAGGGAAACACTCGTGGCCTAAGAAGCATTATAACTGAATTAGGCAATATGTCGAGAGATAATAGACAATATGCGGAAATCGACTTACATGAGGCGTGAGCGCCGGGACTGATTCACCAAGGTCGATGATTGACATTATGAATGAAGGAAGGATGGTGATCCCTTTGGTAAATACTACGCACAAAATTTTAAGAAGAAAGAAGCTTGTTTTGTCTGCAAAACAGAAGTACGAAGTAGAGACTATTCGATCCGTTACCGGTTGATAGTTCCACCTGCGATCTTGATAGTTGGGGCCCGGAGCACGTGTAGATAGGAGAGCTACGCTACTGTTATCGGGTCGGGAGATCAAAAATTTACTGTAATTCTCGATACGAAGATGCACACCACTGCTAAATCCAGATACCAACAATGACACCACTTTCGACGAAACGGCGCAAGCTAGAAAATGGGCAGCCCAGCTCGCCTTCCGGGGATTCGAACGGCTCTGGTGCCAGCCACTCCGGGGAGGAAACGCCCCATGACTCTGAACCAAACCCTCAAGCACATTCCGTCCAGACACCAGGAACTCCGAAGATGAAGCACACGAGAGAGGATGACGACTCTGCGATATTTGCTGGGGGAATGTACAAGTCGAGTCTGTTCAAGCTGCAGGTGGACGAGCTACTGGCTGAGGTACGGCCAAATTATGAAAAGCGGCTCTGCGGGGTGGACGAACTCCTCCGCAAACTGAAAGGCCTGATTGAGGGAATCGAAGCTCGTGCTGCTGTCTCTGTACGTTATCTTAAGTCTTCGTAGACAATTACAATCTGACTATTATATCAGGTTCCAGAGGCTACGAAAGCTTTGCATAAGTCGCATAAGATCACAGTTCCCTTTCCAGACCCTAAGCCAGATCACAACGCAGCATATAAACTCGCATACGAGCAACCTTCAAACATCAATGTTGTCGGAAGCTATGCTTCGAGGACAATGGTGAAATCAGAAGAGGTCTTGTCAGTCGATATGGTAGTTATTATGCCTGCTTCAATATTTCAAGAGAAGGACTTTCTGAATTACCGATATTTCTATAAGAGAGCATATTACTTGGCTTGCATTGCAGCTGGACTCCTTAATGCTGTACAGGACGAGTTATCTTTATCATTTCAGTATCTTAACGGCAACAGTCTTCAGCCAATCCTAACCGTGAAGCCTATATCGAGTATATTTTACAGCTCTTCTCCCAATTTTCTTGGTTACTGACAGAGCCCAGGGGACGAATCGAAAATCAGCTTCAACTATCAAATTCGCATCATACCCGGGGCCCCTCCAGCTTTCTTTAGCAAGTCTAAGTTGCAGCCAAGCAAAAATGCTGTTCGACAGAAGGACGCCCTTGAGAACGGACCCAGCACCTTGCTGCCAACGCCATTTTACAACGCATCACTCCTAGCTGATTGCAGCTTCGAACCCTATCTCAAGGTTCTTCACTCCTCGGTCAAGCTTGCGGCTGGTTTTAAAGAGTCATGTATCCTTGGCAGAATTTGGCTACGACAGCGAGACTTCGGTAGCGACATCTGGAAGGGAGGCTTTGGCCATTTTGAGTGGGCTATAACTACTGCTCTGCTTCTTAAGGGAGGTGGCCCTAAAGGCCACAGTGTACTATCTCCAGGCTACAGCAGTTATCAGATGTTCAAGGCTGTTCTGCAATTCTTTGCCTCTACCGATTTGACTACCCGGCCAGTCCTTTTCGAAGGGAAAGATGTGGTCTTTTCAAAGTCTAACAATCCGATTCTGTTCGACGGAGTACGGGGGCTGAATACGCTCTACAAAATGACTCCTTGGTCATACCAGGTCCTGCGCCATGAGGCCAAGACATCTTTGGCTATGCTGAACGACTCTACTTTCGACCAGTTCGAATCAACCTTTATTGTCAAAACTTCACAGAATCTTCAGAGATACGACTCCACAATCCGAATATCTTTCTCTCCTCAGTCATCCGATCATACTTCTCCCGATCACATCTCGGGCTACAGAACAGTTAGCAATAAACTTTTCGAAGTTCTGCGAGAAGGCCTAATGGACCGTGTCAGTCTGATCGACATTCAGGAGCAATGTCTGCCCTCTTGGTCAATCAATTCGAGCTGCCCAGCCGAGAAGGATCAGTCATTGTTGGTTTCACTGGTCTTTGACCCAGCCAATATCGACCGCCTAGTAGACCATGGCCCAGCAGCAGAGGAGAAAAAGAAGGCTGCCAAATTTCAAAAGTTCTGGGGAGAGAAAGCAGAGCTGCGACGATTCAAGGATGGCAGTATCCTCGAAAGTTTGATATGGTCACCTGGCTCCTCCCACAGTATATTACGAGAGATCGTGACATTTCTTGTCAAGCGTCACCTCGGCGATGCGTCAGCTGCGAGTCTCATGTTCTTTGGAGAGGGCTTCAACAAGATATTGCCTGGGCCGGGAACGAAACTAAGCCAATTTGACGGTCTCAGAGAGGCCTATCGCATGTTTGAGAAGCAGATCCGAGATCTCGAAGGGCTACCGTTACAGCTCAGACAACTTTCGGCTGTCAGCCCCCAACTTCGGTATTCCTCTATTAACCCACCTGGGTTTGGCGCTGGGCGGCCCATGAAAGCTCCAGCCGATGTGATGATACAGTTTGAGGGATCTGGAAGGTGGCCGGATGACATCATTGCGATCCAACGAACGAAAATAGCTCTCCTGCTCAAGATTGGTAGTTTGCTCGAGGAGTCGGATGATAGCATTTCAAGTCGAGTTGGTCTGGAGAATGAAGACGAGCCTCTTCAGAATTGCGCGTTCTTAGACGTCATCTACAGCTCCGGCGTTGTGTTCCGTCTCCGAATTCATAACGACCGAGAGCAGATCCTTCTTGAACGTCAGATCAAGGACAAGTCGAGTGATCACCGGGCTCGAGAGGCAGCTGTCTCTGCACTGTCGGTATATAAAAAGAACTTCATCCACCTCCCGGTGCATACACAGTCCATCTCGAAAAACTGCACTCGTTTCCCACTTCTATCACCGGCGATACGACTAACGAAGATGTGGTTCGAGAGTCACATGCTTCTGGGGCACATCAGCGAAGAGCTGGTCGAGCTTCTGGTTGTGAGGACATTTTTACAGCCTTTCCCATGGCAAGCACCGTCATCAGTAATGACTGGATTTTTGAGGACCCTTCTCTTCATCTCGAGATGGGACTGGCGTCTCTCTCCGGTTATTGTAGACTTTAGTGGGACCATGACCAGCCAGGAGGTCGATTCGATAAACACTAGATTAGAAGCCTGGAGGAAGATCGATCCCAGCATGAACCGTGCAGTAATCTTCGCAGCTTCCAATCATGATCAGACCGGGACTGGCTTTACAGACAAAGGGCCTTCGAAGATGGTCGCAGCTCGGATGACAGCACTAGCTCGTTCTGCTTGCAAGTTGGTCAAAGACAAAGGCATTTACCTCGAGCCAAAATCCTTGTTTGCTTCCACAACAAGAGACTACGATTTCGTGATCCATATCTCACCCAACTTCGCTGGCAAGCAGAAGCCGAAAGAGGTCAGCAATTCCAAATTCAAGAATCTTGAGGTTCAAGCGGATATCGATGTCGGAGTGATTGGATACCAACCAATTCAGCTGTATCTCGAGGAGTTGAAGAACCTGTATACGGGCAGTATTGTATTTTTCCATAGTCCTTCGAGCGGTGCTATTGGAGGATTGTGGAATCCTCAGAATTTGGCAGCACGAGCTTTCAGGGTTAACGCTGCATACGCTACCAAGCCTGTTGCGGATGAGGGAGAGGAAGTTGTGATTGACAAGAATGCTATTCTGGCAGAGATCGCAAGGCTTGGAGGGGACATGGTTTCCCGAGTAGAGGTAAATAGATGATAGTGGGGTTCATGAATTGTAGAAAGATTCTAGTCCATCTCACAGTGCAGATTGCTTTTTGGAAGTGGCAGGGAGGGATGTGGAGACTGAAGATCTGGAAGGGCAAAGTGATACTTCTTGCTTGTATTGCTGCCACATGGCCCCAAATAAAGGAAAGTGAACCGAAGCCCTTCGCACGTCGACGTTACCGGAGGGCCGATCAAGACAAGCGGTGGTATATCACGTGATACGTATTCGGTTATTTTAGCCCCACCAAGAGCCACAGAGTCTAAGGCGCCTCTAAATTCTTTCCAACTGGCACATATTTCGACCTCGACCACCATAACGCTCTCATCCCCCACTGAAGCTACAAATATGGGTGTCCCTTTCGACTATGCGCCGGACAGGCCAGAGCACATCGACGCGATCCTCAATGGCCTTGACCGATACAACCCGGAGACGACAGCTATCTTTCAAGAATACGTCGTGCAGCAATGTGAGGGCAAGTTCGTGGACTGTTTCGCGAACCTGGCGCTACTGAAGCTGTGAGCATCCTCTCTTTTACACAATCAGCTCTTTTCACGTACTGTCTACGCAGTGTCTACATGATGATCCATCTTTAAACGTTTCCTATTACCTGATGACATGGAGATTGAATCCCTCTGGTCCTTGAAGTTTATTATTAGCTCTATCTGAACCGACACCCTCCCTCTCTCACAACCCAACACCCAAAGCGCGCAGTAAGCTAATTCAATCTGCCTGTGCACAGATATCAATTCAATCCTCACCTCAACAAAGATGAGACCATCACCAATATCCTCGTCAAGTCCCTCACCGTCTTCCCCTCCCCCGATTTCTCTCTTGCCCTCCACCTCTTACCACCTCACATCCTGACCCCCATCTCCACGTCCTCCGCCCTCCCTGCCGCCGGCGATGCCCCCCTTTCCGAGGCAGTGCAAAAGCTCAACGTGCTGAACAACCTACTCGGCCAAGCCTCTTACGCGCTCTTCTGGAGCACCCTCAACGGCGACGACCTCTACGCTGACTTGATCGCCGATGTCGCCGGCTTTGAGGAGCTTATCCGCATCAGAATTGCACTCAACGTCTCACAATCTGTCCGCGAAGTTGAGAGACCCGTTTTGGAGTCGTGGTTGGGAATGCAGGGCGAGCAATTCGAGAAGTTTGTCAACACAACCTGTGGGTGGCGGATTGACGGTAGTGTGGTCAAGGTTCCGCTGAACAAGGAGAACGAGGCCAAGGGAACGGTTGTGCGGGAGAACGTCAAGATGGAGCAGTTCTCGAGAGTGATTAGACGGGCATATGAGGCTCCTGCTTAAGAGGGGAGGCTGTGTGGGTGGAATTTACGTCTCTGATGAACTTGCATGGCATGGCTGGTTGGCGGTGGCGTTAAGGATGGAGTTATTTGGTCCAAAAGCCAAAGTGTGTACTTGAGTTGGCATGGATTGTGTGGACAGGCATTGAGAAGGCTTTGCCGTCCCTTCTGAAAGACATCTAAACTCATCAGGCTACTAATGACTTCAATGTACATTAGTGCTTCTCTACAAATTTTTCAGATGTTGAAATGGGAGAAATGAGGATTCTCTAGCTGGTATTCCAAGCCAAGCAGTAGAAACACAAGCCACCACCGAGAAGCCAAGTCACGTAGGCTCAAGTTATTTCTTGATCAGTTCCCAACTCACGGTCGAATTTGTGATATCAGTCCAATTGGTCATCTCTGTTCATTCACTGTACATGCCACATAGCGATGCATTCCAAGCTTTGTTGCTCGCCGTCAACTGATCCAACTCCTCCAAGCAGCCAACTCCAACGCCCAAATCAAATGCCACCCACCCTTCTCCACTTAGACTTAGCCACCAAACTGGAAGCCACCAGGGAATCCTCCGCCGCCAAAATCGAACTTGAACTGCTGCCCACCGCCACCACTGTGTCCACCAAAGGGATTGCCGCGGAACTGTTGTCCGTGGAAAGGATGCTGTCGTTGCTGTTCGTGATCATTAGGGTCATCGCCTTGATCGTATCTGTGCTTCAGCTCGGGGTCACTGAGAACTTCATAGGCCTCGTTAACCGCAGCCATCTTCTTCTCCGCGTCCTCCTTGGTGATACCCTGCTTGTGGGCCTTGTCGGGGTGGTGCAGTTTAATCATCTTCCTGTACGCCGACTTGATCTGTAACTCATCTGCATCTTTGGGAACGCCGAGGACCTTGTAGTAGTCTTTCGTCTTGCTCTTCTTGAGCTCGAGCTGCGCGTTGTGCAGTAGCTGGTTGATTTGCTGAGCGCCGGGGTGGTGTTCTTTGGCCTGTTTTAGGGATGCAATGGCGGCGTCGAAGTTCTCGGCTTCCATGGATCGGCGGGCTTTGTTGAGGAGACCGTAAAGGGAGTTCTCATTCAGTTTGATCGCTTCGTCGCACCATGTGATGGATTTCTTGGTGTTTTTCAACTGTTGTTTTTAGCTGCCAGATCTAGTATGAGAGAACAGAAACGACATACCTCATGGTAAGCCTCGCAAACCTTATCCACCACTCCAATTTCCAGGTCGTTGGGCGCGTGCTCTGGAATTGTACCAGCTTCCCGTAATTCCTTCACATCGTCCTTGATATCTTGCACCAGTCCCAAGTCCTCGCCTGCCGGTAACAGCAATTTCAGAGAGCTCGCGTATTGCTTCTTCTCGAAGTGTTTGTTCACTTGCGCCAACTGCTTTTCCAGCGTCTTTTGCCGTCTGTACAGCTTCTTGCACTTCTTCGAGTCCGGATCCGAATGCAAGCACTTCCTCAACTGGTCCATCCCATGCTCCAAGTCGGCAAGCGCATAGTACGTGATGGCCGCTATCTGAATATGCGGTTCCGTCTGTCCCGGCTGCATCTGGAGAACGTGCTTCAAGTCGCTCATCCCCTCCATCACCTCCCCGCGCTCGAATCGACAGTGTGCTCTCGTTTTTCGTAAGGACAGCATCTTGCTTGCGACCATGATGGCCACTCCAGACTGGCTGATGCATTCCTCCCAATTTCCCACCTCCTCGGCAGCACTCGCGAGCGCAGCTGCGCCCTTTGCTTCCTCTAACTCGGCCAGGTCTTCTCCGGATTTGCCGTGAGACTGGTAATCCTTCTTCGCAGCCTCCCACTCACCGTTCTTGGCTCGTATTTTCGCACGTTGTATCAAAGCTCCCTCAAACCCAGGCTTGATCGACAGGACTTTGTCGAAGTCAGAGGTTGCCTGCACGGTTCGGCCCAGGGAGAGGTACGTTGCACCCCGCTTGAAATAAGTGAGGTAGTTCTGAGGGTCGCGGGAGATCGCAACATCGTAGTAAGTGAGAGCGTCGTTGGTCTCGCCTTTTGCCAGGTGGGTGTTTGCAGACGTGAGGAGAGAGGAGATCGGGGTATCAGGGGGAATCTCAGAGGGAGAGATTGCGATGACTGAGGAAGAAGACAAGAGAGTGGCGAGCGCCAAAGTTGAAAAGTGGACGATCATGGTTGTTGCGAAGTATTCGATTGCAATAGAGACAGTATGGAAAGTATGGAAAGTATGGAAAGTATGGAAAGTATGGAAAGTACGGAAAGTCGTCGATAGCTGGCAGATCTCGGATCAGAGAAAAAGGTGTCCTGTTTCGGTGACTGAGTACATTCCAGGCCGACCTTTGTCGCGCCAAGAGTTTTTTTTCTATTTATAGGCGCTTCTAATGATAGGAGCCCTGAGCTATTCATGCCATCGTCCCCCGTTCAACGTCCAGGCGTTGCTACCACCGCCCCCGATCAACAATGGCCCATCTCTCACCCGGCGCCATCTTCTCCCCCACAGCAGCTCGGCAACAGCTAGCCGCAGCGAAAGATTGGAACTACATCGACAATTGGCTCTCGATCAAATTCAACGGCAAAAGCCCGCCGTCATTCGAGCGTAACAACGACACACTCAAGGCCCTCCTCGCCCTCGCAACCCTCAACGACACCGCAGACGAAGAGCGCGACCTCCTCGCCCGTATCGATGCCAAAGCTCTTCAAGACCTCCAAGCGAAGGAAGAAGCCGATCCCCATACCGAACTCCTAGCCTCCCTCGAAGAATGCCTGACGCGCGAAGGTCAAACCAGTCTGGAAGCACTGTCGACGTTAAGTGTGGCTCTCAACCAGCCGGTTCCTACGACCGAGAGACTGGGAAGGGCTATGCTTGATCTGCAGGTTGCATCCTACGATTTGGACCAGGCTAGCGAGCGGATATCAATTCTGGAAGCGCATCTGATCAGTGAGCTTGAGAGTATCAATGTACTGATCGGGGACTTGCAAGGGGATGCGTACCAGCCGTCAGCGGATCTTACGAAGCAGACGATTGATTACCAGAGGAGGGCTAAAGCTTTATCCTCCAAGCTTCCCGAACTGAAGGACCGAGTGGCTTCGTTATCAGCGGGTACTAGCACGAAGATTACTATTCAAGATGTGAAGATGGAGGAAGACAAGTTCAAGTCTCTGATGGAGACTGTGAAGAATCTAGAGGCGCAAGTGAAGAGCTATCATGGTCTACCACAAGACACAGACTTGGCTAGGTTGGAGCTGGAAGGTCTTAGGGTGGAATTACGAGATCTTACTTTGCAGCGGGATAGCATGTTTGAAAGTCTGGTGGAACGGGAGAGTCCCCAGAAAACGAGACCATGATGAAGCTCCCTACATTTAAAATTTCGTGTGAAGCCTGCAGCAAAAAACTGTTCTGCCTCCATGATTATCTTTTGGGTCGAGTACCTGATACCGCTCCTCCCAACCGCCCAAACTTCCCCAGGCTTGACTTCGATTTATTCGCCGTTGGCTGAGCCCCGGCTGGATTTGTTGCTGCATCCTTGACAATTTGCGGTGGTCCATGAAGTCGAGTCAAATCCTTGAATGCTCTTGCATCTGAACCGTCTCCCGCTCGAGGCTCCGACATCATGCCGAGCCCATCATCGAAATCTCCACCCGATCTCTTTGCCACCCTCCTGGCTCGCTCCTGGACGCTTTTGAACTTATCTAAAAGCTCGTTCCATCGAATGCCACCCTCATCCCTGCCTTTCAGTCGACTGGATCTATCGAAGCTTGACGGCCCAGTGTTTGTAGGCGTGCTAAACGAAGAAGCATGAGTTTCACCACTCTTTTGACGTTGATGAAATTGAAATGTAGAGATGGCCTCGACGACACTGTTATTACGAGATTGAGATACGTACGCTCGGGGGGCAATGTGCAGATAGCCTATTGCGCTAACGCTGTTGAGTCTGTTCTTTAATGCTGCAAAGGCGGAGGATTGGGGTAGCAGCATGAGAAGGCCGTATAGGCACTTGTAGAGGTGAGGGTGTTTCTCTGGCTCTAATAGTTGCAGCCGAAGATCTAGAATCTGTTAGCGGACATAGTGAGTACGTACCACCAAACCCACAAGTAAACACTGGGGATTCGAGCAACTGCACAAGTTTATCAATTTGAATGAGCATATTGACTGTCATTTCGAGCTCCGCACTAAGTCACGTCAGCGAATCCCCACCCTATCGTGGAATGAAGACTCACAAAATCTGGAGCAGGTTATATGCTTGCTCGTATGCCTGAGCAAGCAGGCATAAGGAGAAAGTAGCGACAGCATTGTAACACCAGGACCTAAACAGCGCCACAAAAAAGGTTTGTCCATCCTTTGTCTCCACATTGCGAAGCCGTTTTCGAAGTTCGGCCAGCTCTGGCGCCGTAATGAGGTTGTTGTTCAAGTTCTGGACCATAATGCTGGCGAATTCGACATCCTCTTCTTTCTCGATGCAGTCGGCAAGGGTACGATAGATCCTCTCAGCGCTGAGACTGACACAGAGCTGGCGAATTATCAAGTTTCCACGAGTCTCAAGAAGTTTCCGATCAGTCGAAAATAATTGTAATAGATTCTCCATGAAGGAGGCAAAATAGTCATCACCGCTATTCCTCGATATCTGAGAAAGCAGCTGCAGATCTCGAGTGACCACTGCCTCTGCTGGATCCGAAAGCGTCTTGAGGAGGGCGGGGAATGTGCCATCATTGAAGGCGAGGACTTTCCTAGGTGCCTTCCTGTGTAGCATGAGCAGCCACGATAGAGCGGCAACTCTTGTAGCTTCATGATCATTGAGGAAGAGGAGGGTCAGAGAATTGACAGCCGCCGCATAATCAAGGTCGACCTGAGGTTGCACTGGTGAGGAAGGCGACGGGGTTTTATACATCGGAGGTGGTGTCTGAACCTCCGATGACCTGTCCAGCTCGCGAGAGTTGGAGATGGATCCACGAGTATTCGTGGAAGAATCTCGTCTCTCGGGTCCAGCACTATCCCTCACTATTGATGTGGGTAGTCTCGATGGCCCAGAGGCTGCTTCTGGAGGCGCGCCCTCATCGCCCAGTGACACCACATAGTTCATCAACGAAGTATTGACTCTTCCTGCCGCGAGTCGGATAGTTTCGACGCCACTGGCCATAGCGGGTAGCAAATGGGCAAGAATTTTGGGCGCGAATGGAAGCACCTCTTCGGGACAGATGTCAAGGAAATCGACAATCCACCGTAGAGACTCCAGTAGACTGTCCTCCTCTACAGACGATTAGTTGCGGTATCGTAGACAAATGGAACAAAACATACCCAGGGGCGAATCAAGGTTGGCCGTGAGAACCTCAAGAATCTCCTTGTGATTTACCTGCACATCTTGTCCTGGGATCCAGTCATCGTCGTCACTAGCATCTTTGTCATCGCCACTTTCGGAGCCTTCATCGGCATCGGCTCCAACGCCTGTCGAGACCTCACTATCCATTGAGACTGAACGTTTCCGCTTTACATCACTGCGAGTTTTTCGACTTTCTGCGATGCCCTTCTTGATCCGTGAGATCCGCTTAATCTCGCCCAGGAATCTTTCCAGGGCCCCCTGCGTAGCAACGTGAACATCTCGATTTGGATCACTGAGGAACTTCAACAGTCCGCTGAGGAACTCTGGAAGGTAGGCCACGAGTTCCAAGTCCGGAATAGAGTCGAGTAATGTGATCCAGCCCACCAGGAATGTTCTAGTGAATGGGTTGATCACGTAGATTCTCTCTTTGAGCAGAGGAAGGAATTTAACCAGCGAGAAGGCTGTAGGTAAATCTACGGATTCATCTGTTGTTTCTTTGTCGTTCTCTAGCGTCGGGTCTTCTGCAGTCTGAAGTATTGATACATATGTTGCTGCCGATTCCGAAACAATGTCTTTGATCAGACGGTCCAGCAGCTCGGCTCCGTTCTTGACGGATAGTTCTGAGTCTGCTCCTAACTATTTTTGCATCAGTACGGCTGGCTTCCTGCATCTGTGAGGAACCGGGGGCCAACGTACTTTGCACAACGCATCGAAAATGTCATTAAAATAGGGTAGCACTTCGCCCTTTGCGACCTTTGCGATGTTGTACATGCTCTCGCACGCATAATAACGGACTCGAGCATCTTGGTCGGTAAAGCAGGCCAGCACGGGAGGAACGATTTCATCCAAGTACCGGGCCAAGTCCTTTACAAGATCGTCAGCCGCATATTACGCATAACGAGATTTTTGGGACATACCGGCCCTAATGCAATAGCAGCAGCTGCGAGTCCGATGAGACCTCCATTTCGGGCGTGAGGTGCATGGACAGCGTAAGCGAACTCGTTGCAAAGCTGCTGGATGATCGTCTTGATTCTATCGAAATCCTTCGCAGCCGTGAGGTCCCGTATGGCACGTTCAAGCCTGATAAAGGGTTAAATTCGAGCAATTCAATGGGTATGGATTTGCCTACTCTAGAGCTCCGACTTTACGTTTGTCGTAGAGTTTATCGTTCAGCGCACGCTGGACGCTCTGCTCCATCTTGAGTATTAGCTGGGTGCTGAGAACATGTTATGCTTGAAGAAAGATGTCCAGCAAGTTCGAATGCTGGAGGAGAATGGAGTTCGCTCAGCTTGGGAGAAGCAAGGCAGGAAGGAGCAGCACGTGAGTGAGTGAGAGCAAGCTAGCTGCACAGCACAGCACAGCAGGCAGGAGTCGTTTTGCGGCCTTTATTTACCGGTGCCGGAACCCGGATTTCCCGAGTGGGAGTGGAGAATATGCGACGAGACAGGACAACTGGCTGGCTTCCAAAAGATAAGGTGGTGGAGAAAAGTAAAGAAGCTGTGAAGTCGTTGTCTTCGTTGTCGTTGTCGTTGTCGTTGTCGTTGTCAAGCTCCGAGCTCCAGCTTGGACTCTCCTTGGCACAAACCCTCGCCCGCATGCCAAGTCACGTGTGTCGTCGGGGTGAGGCCCTGTTTTGTTTTGATTTATTGATTTAAGCGACAGCATGTTTTGTTTTCCTTCGCCTGCCAGGAGTAGTCGGCATGTTTAAAGGTCGTCAAGAACAGTTTGGCTACCGTACCTCTTCTGGTCTCTACGTTGCGGGCTTATCTGCATTTCGGAGGATTCGATCCGATCACGGATTTTGTATTGTATCACACGGGATTTTGTACACATATGGATGGCCGGGTCGTCAGCTACGAACATCATCTCACGTCTCACGTCAGGACATCTGCGCAATTGCAACCAGAACTTACTCGGTCTCATCAGACGGATTCTCCAATGTTAAACAATGCATACGATTACAATCACTTTTCGTCTGAAATCCCATCAGTCAGCTATCCCAGTCCCTAAAGAAAAAAAAAAAAAAAAAGGAAAAAAAGAGCACGTCCTTCACAGCGTCGTCCCCTACTCGTATCAAATCCCACCGGGAAGCCTTAGGGCCCGTTTGGTCCAGCGCAACTATTGTGGTTTTGTCAAATCGTATAGAGAGAATCGTTGTCAAATACTATGGTTTTCGCAATAACAATATCGTGGAAACCTTGCCATTTAGATGGCTGTTTGTTTGGTCGAGAGCATTCCGAATACTGCATTGCACAAGATTGATAAAAATAGCCTTATTATATTCATACAAATTTCTACGAGGACTTTTGAGCTAATGTAATCGGTAGTCATATACGAGACCGCCTCTTTCAAGCGACGGCTCTCTCATCTCTGAAACTGCAAGTATAGGCTTTCTCTACGGAGATGCAGTCGAATATGGGTACCACCAAGTGCCTTGATTTTTTTTTTTTTTTTTGATTTCAAGAAGCTCAATGTCCATGCAGAATATCTCCCTTCTCAGCAACGACTCGCTGACACTTTGCAAGGATTGCCGCCTGCCTTCCCACCTCCCCAAGCTTCCCAATGACCCTTTTGTTCCCGTCCACGAATCCATACAGGGCGTAGGGAATGCCAACATCGATACAAAATTCTTGGACAAGCTTTTGGGCTCGACGAAGGTTGTGCCTGGGCATCCGAGGGAAGAGATGATGGATGGCTTGAAATTGCAGACCTCCGTGGAAGAAATCCAACCACTGGGGACAGTCGATATCCATGGTGGTACGCAGCATTTTCTGAGGGAACGACTCGTGCGGCCCCAGCTCCGCAGTGCTCATGGCAAAATGGGACAAGGTGATTTGAGCGTGCAAGGGCATGGTGATCATATGGCTGACCAAGAGGAAAGTCCAACGGCCGGAGGCAGTTGGGATGGTTTTGTACATGATAACATAACCGAACCAGTACCAAAAGAAGACTTGTCCAGTAATCTCTAGCCATCGATGCCACCACGCAGGTCCCTTCTTGGGTCCCAAGCCTCGAATGAGGTATTCCCAGGACAGCACATAGAGATTGAACCGTCCAAATGTAAGAATTGGATAATAAAGATACGCCTGATATGGCAACAGAAATTGTGCAAATGCATCGTAGGTCATTACACGCTCATAGAAGGACGACGTGAGCGAGTTAAACAGCCGATGAGAAACAGCAAAGAACGGCATATGCTCGATGTCCGGATCATGTTCGGGAGAGTTGGTCACAATGTGATGGACATTGTGGTTCCGTTTCCACCAGCCAACAGACAGCCCGCCAATGAAATCAGCAATGATAATACCAATTGTCGTGTCGACGTGGAAGTTGTGGGTAATACCCATGTGTCCTGCATCATGCACTGTAAATACCAGCTGATGCCAGAGACAACCTAGGAACAGACCACTGGTAGCGTACCATCCCAGGCGCAGAAATAGGAGCATCCCACAGAAGAGGAAGGTGTAACGGCAGGCTTCAATCGCATAGGCAGAGTAGTTGCAGTCGTAGAGATGCTCCTCTCGTAATCTCTGGTCTAGCAGACGGTATTTCGTGATGACCTCGTCCTGGGTATTGAGGTCCAGAGACGGATACTTAGAGAGATCCAATTCGATCTGCTCTTTAGTTTGGGCGTCCAGGTAAGACATTCCGTCTTCTAGTTCTGCGACAGAAGATACAGATGATGCAGAAGATAACAGACGATCGTCCTTAGATCGTATGCGTCGGCGAACGGTCAGATCTACGGCATCGAATATGGGAGAAGGAGCCCTCGAATTTTCAGAGCTGGTGGTCTGGTCCTCGACATTGTCCTCTTCGTCCTCTGCGTCTGAGGTCCCCGCACAGTATGACCGAAATCTTCCACCTTGTATCGGAGGGACAAAGTTCACCCAACGACCTTCAATCCGTCCAATTTTATACCGCTCCATTTGTTTCTGTGCTTCCGGGGAATGCAGCCTGCAGGAGTCGGTCAGTACCAGAGAGCCTCGATGCAGCAATGGAGGTACACATACGCAGTTACTTCATCTGTTGCGTCTCTGCCGATCATGTGTTGGATAGCCTTGTCGCCTCCAGGATGATATTTGAGCCACGGATCGACCTTCAGCACCGCCTGGTTGACGACAATGATTGACCTCCCATCCGCTATTAAGCCCTCGATATATCTTCGAGACAATAAAACTTCTGTCCGGCGGGGGGTGGACTTAGAAGACATGGCGAAGGATTAACCAGACCAATCGGTGAAGTGGCCGCGGCTTTTTGGATTTGACTGGATGTTTTGATCAATCGGTAAAGAGAAAAACGGCCGTCAAGAGTTCGGACGATGGAGATTGACTTTAACATGAAGTCAGATCTCGGGCCATGTGGGGAACGCGGACTCATCTCAGTCGGGGCCTCTAAGTGGCTCGCTAAGGCTTAGGCGTGAATTTGAATTGGAGCCCCAGTTCATTACCCAGCGACGTCATACCGGTATGTAGTAAACAATTGGATTACACATTATATCCATTTCAATCATCTGTGGACCCAAGGATGACCACCCTCAACTTCGGAATAAGCGATATTTGGCGAGCAACAAACAAACAAACGAGCATGAGGAGGTGGAACGCCTTCTCTCTCATGATTACTTAAACATCATCTCTGCAGGGCAGGTATTTCAGACGTCACGCGCTATGCTTTACGGACTACTATAGCAGTGGTTTTGATTTTTGATTTTACTCAGTGTCGGTTTTCAGCTTGTTCATTAGGGTACCGGCGTTTCGCTCAAACTGTACATACACAGGCCCCTCAAAAAAGCACTATTGATCCGTTTCGAAAGCTTTTCGCAGTTTATCTACCTATCGTACACTTGGGTATGCTCAGTAATGAATAGCCTTGCCGTATGTCGCCATAGCAGCCTCCTTGAACGCCTCCGCAAGAGTAGGATGCGCGTGACACGTGCGTGCAATATCCTCACTCGACGCACCGTATTCAATGGCCAACGTTCCCTCCGCAATCATCTCTCCAGCGTTAGGTCCGATGATATGGATACCCAAGACTCGGTCGGTCTCGGCATCGGCAAGGATCTTGACCAGACCATCGGTGTCAAGGTTGGTCTTGGCTCTCGAGTTGGCAGAGAAAGGGAACGATCCGGTCTTGTACTTGGTGCCGGCAGCCTTGAGCTCCTGCTCGTTCTGACCAACCCACGCGACCTCGGGGTGGGTGTACATAACAGATGGGATGACACCGTAGTTGACGTGCCCGTATCCCTTCTTGATGTACTCCACCACGGCAACGGCCTCCTCTTCTGCCTTGTGAGCAAGCATTGGGCCAAATGTGCAGTCGCCAATGACACGGATATGAGGGATTTTGGTTCGGTATTCCGAGTCAATAACCAGTCTTCCCTTGTCGTCAGTCTCAACACCAATGTTCTCTAATCCGAGACCGGCAGTGTACGGTCGACGTCCAATAGCAACGAGGACGACATCTGCATCGAGCTGAAAACAATTAGTACGTGAGGGCTAGTAACATGAGCAGCCTTATCAAACTTACAGTCTCTTCCTTGCCACCCTTGGCAGCCTCGACGCTGAGCTTGACTTGTTGGCCGCTGGCATCGCCGCCCATGACTTTTGTGTTAACCTTGAAGTCAATACCCTGCTTCTTCAAGATCTTTTGCGCGGACTTTGCAATCTCAGCATCCATTCCAGGACCACCAATCTGTCCCAGAAACTCCACAACCGTGACCTTAGAGCCTAGCCGCGACCAGACTGAGGCCATCTCAAGACCAATGATACCTCCACCAATGACAACCATCTTCTCGGGCACCTTCTCCAGTGCGATAGCACCAGTGCTGGTGATGATTCTCTTCTCGTCAATCTCAAGTCCGGGGAAGGGCGTCGCTTCACTGCCAGTGGCAATAAGGATGTTCTTGCCGAGAATGGTTTGCTCTCCGCCCTCCGACAAGTTGACCTTGACTTCGTGTTCGCCAGAGAAAGCTGCGGTGCCCTTGACATATGTAACATTGTTCTTCTTGAACAGGAACTCCACACCCTTCGTCAGACCGGCCACAGCGGTATCCTTCGACTTCATCATCTGTGCCAGGTTGAGTTTAACATCGCCGACTTCGATACCGCGGGCTTTCGTGTCGTGGAGAATCTGGTGGTAGAGATGCGAGTTGTTAAGGAGAGCTTTCGAGGGGATGCAGCCAACATTCAGGCAGGTTCCGCCCAACGTGCCGCGTTTCTCAATACATGTAACCTGTTTGATCCGTCAAACATGTATCATCATGAGGCTCTGTTGCCGTGTGTAGATCCTACCTTCATTCCTTCCTGCCCGGCTTTGATAGCTGCGACATATCCAGCAACACCACCTCCGATGATAACCAAATCCTGCTCCTCTGCGCGCCGTCAGCTCCATCCCTATCAAAGCTGAGCCCAAGAGCAACTGACCAGCTTCCGTCGCATATGCTCGTCGCGACCATCTCGCAATCGATGTAGGAGCGACAATGGAAGGAAGGCTGAAGAGATTGTTAGCTCGCTGATCCGGGGTTGCAACTCGCAACGCAATTGATGGGCGCCCTACGACGACGAGCTTTGCTTGAAGGCAGATCTGGCAGCCGCCCGTGGCAATACTAAACTTCGAAGCATGGTTTGTGAAGTTGGTTGTGGTGATTAACGTTAGGAACCACTGGATGGACAAGATGTTTTTGATGGGACACCAGCAAGAGGCGGCTCCGCCTCTCGGCTACTCCGTCTCCGTTTTTTAACCCGCGCTACTCCTACGACTCTACAAACAAGACCAATTTACATGGTTCCGGACCCCCATTCTGAGTTGTCTCTTTTCTTTGTCTGTGGCTATAGCCTTGTAGAAGACCGGAGAAAAGGTTTATTTAAAATGTTTAAAGTTATTCATCAAACGACTAAACGGTGTTCATCTATACCTGGCTCATTCCTCTCCTTCAAAACCAACAATATAGCACCATTTGGCCAAGTCTCGAAATAAGTGTACCAACAAAACCCTCCCATTCATGCATCTACAGCTAAAGCCGCAAGGGTATCTCCAACTACTTTACAAGCCCACTTTACCGTCGCCTTCTCCTCCTTCCCACCCGCGATATCCGTCTTGCCCACGACCTTCTTCAAGAAGTACTGCAAGCCTCTGATCAGCTGTGGTATACCTTTCGCATGGCTGAATATTTTCACCACAGCCTGCTCGTCCCTCTTGGGCTGGGACTTTTCTTGAGACTGCAAGATAACTGTGATGAAGAAAATCTCCATGAAAGTCTTCGTCCTCACTTGTAGGTAGCTGAAGTTGAGATTCTTGAGAGCGCTAAGAGCCAACCCTCCATCGACCAGCAGCGTGGCAAACATCTTCGCGAGGTTGACGATTTGCCGGGTATCCAGTGCCTCAACATGATCTTCGGGGTCCTCATCTTCCTCTGACTCGCCCATCTTCTTGAATAGGTCCCACAGGCAATATTGGAAAGAGGTCTTAAGTCTTCGGTCACCACATACTTTCTTCGCAATCAAGGTGTAGTACGGATTGTAGCTCTTCTCGCTTTGTGCACATCGGATCAGAACCTTAGGGATCTCGAACTCTTGCACCTTTTTAAGCTTCAGCTTCATCAGCCGTTGGTAGGCATCATGAAAGTCAGTTGCGGACATGATGGTAATGAAAATAGCTCGTCGAATGTCAGTGTTCATTCCAAGCTCCCGCGCAAGTTGCTGTAGGTCTGCTGTCCCAGAATCTTCGATAGGTGTAGCAGTCTTTTGGATAGGTTCGGAGCGTGCTGGCTCATTGGCATCTTCATCTCCATGGCCGGCCCAGCTGGCACCTACAAGCCACCACTTTCCCTTCTTATCGGATTCTCTGATGTCCTTGAGACCAATTCGTAGAGGCTCGCTGCCCTTGATAGTTCTTGTATTGAGAGAACCCAGGATCTTCTTCATTCGAACGGTATGTTCAGATGTGATTGCCGATGCTGCTCCCCCAGCCTTCATCTTATTGTTCTTAAGATCGTTGATCGTCTCGATCATGAATTTCGTTCGGACAGATAGGTTGGACTCTCCACCAGCGCTCTCAATAGCAGGCCGGAGCATGGCGACAATAGCTTTGAGTGACGATGGATCGTCCTGTCGGAGCTGGGGTCCGGACGCTCTGATTATTTTCAATAACAACTCAGCATTTACCTCGGAGAGCTTTTCTAAGAACAATCTGACGTAATCGAACATGAGATGACTTCCTACGACCTGAAAATTGTACATCTCCGAAAGAAGCATAATCAAATTCGACGTCTCCTTACTGCTGTCGGTCGTTGCAGCTGCTGAGCCATGGTTTCCAGCAGCCGTAGCGTGTGCATAATGCTCGTCAAATAGTTCCACAATTCTCTGGATGACCTGAGCTCCAACATCGGTTCCGATGATTTTGTAAATAGCAGAAATGAAGCCCGCCGGAAGGATGATAAGTGTATCGGGTAAGCTCGTAGGCTCACAAACAGATGTCAGTAATATATCCACCAATGTGGACGTAACATGTTGCCGTGGGCTCTCGCGATAGAGTTTCTCGATATCTGCAAGAATCGATAGCAAATTCGCTTCTGTGAGCCTGTTGATCAATCCTTGGGTTCGGCGCCGCAGACGAACTAGATCCTCGGAATCCGAGGATGCTGCTTTGCGTAAAGACGGCGGGATGTACTTCTCAGATGAAGCACTGCCACCACGTACAGGTGCCACATACGGGTTCTCACGAACTCTTTTAGCAGGCTTTAAAGGCGCATCTCCGTCCAAGTCATCGTCGGAATCAAACCCACCGAAGTCACTATTCGCATCGAGCACGTCTTCGTCCCCCATTTTACTTTCATCTTCCTGTGAATCATCATCTGGAAATTCTGGTACATCCAAAGACATGTCAGAAGCCCCATCGTCGTCATCAGCCTCGTCTCCCTCCTCTAGAACCTCTTCGTCGGATTCGCTCCCGTTTTCTTCGCCGTCATCAGCTTCTTCGTCCTGTATTGCTGGAGCTCTCCCCTTCGCAGCATTCTGCGCCTCCCTCCGTTTTCGATTTAGCCATTCGTCTCCCTCCGCCTTCCTTTTCCTCTTCTGCTGGACACCTTGATCCTCGCTCTCCTCAGCACCTAGTCCATCGAGCAGCTCATCGAGTCCATCGTCCTTGAACGACTGCGGTAGGCCCTTCTTCCCTACCAGACCCAACTTTTTCTCCAACGCAGCAATCTCAGCATCTTCTTCCGCCAGCTTGTCCTGCACAGCTCTCGATACTTTCGCAGGTGGTGATAACGATCGAATTTTCTTAGTTTCCTCGAGCTCCTGGTCGACCTTCTTTGCACGCTTTAGAATCGGCTTGGGCTTCGGTATCTCAACTAGATCCTGTCGAGGAGGGTTCGCCGACTCTGCCTTTTGGGCCGGCGGCTTGGGCTGCGCAGTACGATCTGCTTGATGGAATGTTTTGGCTCGTTTCTCGGGGGGAGGCCCACTTCTTGCGCTCTTCTTTTCTACCCGTGCAGCTTTACGCAGCTCTTTTCTCGACCCAGCTCTTGATCTCTGTTTGCGCCCACCAGAAAGAGCATCTGTAATCTGCATCAATTATCAAGTTCGGAAAAATTTCCTTCTTCCACGCACCTTCACCACCCAGCTGATCAATGAGAGATTTGGGTAACTTCAACTGGTTCTGTTTCGGCGCCATTGCATAGATGTACGATCATGATGGTGCGCTCAGAAATCCCCGGATTCGAAAATAATTTACGCGGGATGGAGAGGTCAGGCTACCGAGGATTTCCCGGGTTCTCACCCCACCCCATCAACATGCCACCACCATCCTGTACAGAGATACTGAGATATTAGATATCCAGCATCAATCAACCTCATTTCTCACCACCTGAGCCGCAGAGATGTCGAGGGGGCACCTGAGCAATGGCGATGTATGTAATGAGCTGCTTGAACAGGGAGCGTATAATGAATGGAATAGTCACTGACACCGCGCAAATAGTTCTTCCTGCGCCTCTCCGAGCTCTTCGACGAGCGCAGAAAGAAAGACCATGGAAGCATCTTCCTGGTTCAAAAACGCAGTCTGTAACCAATAGACCAGCGCACATCTACAGCATGTTCTGACGATCGCAGTGTCGTATGGCGAAGAAGCCGACGACGACGACTCACCAGCCACCAAGACCGAAACCGAGAGGCCCTTCCCCGACCAGAGCCCGTCCAAACCGCTACCCATCATTATCCGGGCGACGAACGGCAAATCCAAGAAAAATCGCGCCAAGAAGGTCAAGCTTTCTACGGTTGTTGAGGCCGATGCTTTAGAGGCTTTCTTTGCCAAATATGCGGAGGTGTGCAAGCTGGGTATGTCGGGGCTGAAGAAGAGGGATAGGAGTAAGGCGAAGGAGAAGCTAAAGGCAAAGAAGAGGAAGCAGCAGGGCGCGGCGGGCGTGGCGGGCGCTGAGGCCAAGAAGGACTAGATGTCGTGGTTGCGAGGTTCATTTTTATAAAAAGCACATTTGGCATGGAAGGCGACAGAGGTTATACCCACCCAGATTTGCGCATGGAGGCGCTACGTGGTGAGACAGGGCATGTGTTGTTTTGAGGGTAGAAGGGATGGCAAAGATCTTGCTATTCCATTACTCCAACGCTATGCTATGTATGCTACTAAGGACGGCATATAATACATCTAAGAAATGGTGGAAGACTCTGTCTGTCCGTCTTCGGCTAGCATACAAATAGCAATCCCGACCTGCATATGTATAAAGCCACCCATTCTGGAATCAAACCCAACGAACCAGTATTCAGATAAAAGCCTCGCCACATCTCACAAGTTGTACACTTCTTCCTCCGCCTACTCGACTCTTACAATTGTTGGGCCTGGGTTTGCTGCCCAGCACCTTTCCCTTTCTCAGTAACAGATTGCCGGCTGGAACTCTGACCTGTAGAATATTGTTGGCTCTGAGATGGAAGAGCACAGCCGTACATCGGCGCCAGTGTGACGTTGTCCATATCCGCAAAGTTGGCCTGGGGCATATTCCCAGGTTGAACTTGTAGGTCCTGGTTAAAATATGGAACGTATCCGTCATTTGAAGGGTACTGGGCCTCAGGAGCATTATGGAGGTCGTCACGACCGGGCTGATTTCGATCAGTATTGCCGTCTTTGTTGTTACTGGAATGTTCTGCATAAGTTTGTTGGTGTTGAGGATTATCCGTGGCTTGAAGAGCCGGGTCGATGAGATGGGTCGACTGTGCATAGCCATGAAAGTCACGTTGTGGAGGTATGAAGCCATGAGAGCCATCGCTGCCTACTTGGTGCTGAGCAGTGTTGAACCTGGAAGGTCCAGCTGTAGACCTCTGCGGTGCCTGGTATTCTCGGAGCGCAGGTTTGATGCCTGAGAACTCCGCATAGCCACCCGAATGGTACTTTTGAGGATCGGAGTTTGGAGAGCTGTTGTTGTCAATGTGGAACGGGAGAAGTGACGAACCATACTGTTGAAGCGGTGGTGGATCTGGAGGATACAGGCTCGTGTTTTGGTATGGGAAGCCAGCACTGGCGACATGCTCATTTGAATAGTATTGCCGAGGCTGCAATTCTCGCGCTCTACTACCCACCAACTGGCCCCTCTGCTGCGGCTCCTGATCAGAGCTCGAGCTTCCGTATCCCTGATGAGGCTGTGGTCGCGAATTTGGGCCACCTGGGCGTGAGGAGAGACGAGAGAGTTGGTTTTCAGGCTTGAAGTCGGCCCGTTCCCTATCTCTGTCGAGCCGGGTCAGCTGTTGTTGTTGCTGTTGTCTTTGTTGGTTAGGCGGAATGTGTGAAGGTCCGGCTATGTTGTTCTGCTGGATATGGATCGTTTGCCATCTTCCCGCTTGTTGTGTCTCGTTTCTGCCGTCAAATGCGGATCCAGCAGTTGGTGACAAGCCGTGATACGAGACCTCCCCTACTGGATAGGCCCCGAGGTCCTGACTGTGAACTCCCACCTCTTCGTTGAACGTCCGAGGAACTTGGCTGCTTGGCTGTGGATCTGAGTTGCAAAGCTGAGGGTAGGGCTGTTGCTGCTGCTGCTGCTGCTGTTGCCACTGCGAAGCACCACTCGGATCCGGAAAGTCGAAATTTCTGGCCGGGGGCTTCATATTCTGCTGCGAA